TAGCATTTACAAATAACAGCGTATCTAAAAGTATGAGACAACAACAAACAACAAACATAGACCTATCATTAAAAGCCGTGCTTGCACAGTTTCTGCATGATCCTCTTCAATAATATCCTCTGCTTCTCAATCGGGCTCAAACTTATAAGCGATATTAACGACGCTGTTGTTTACAATACAACCGGAGCACATGCCGCTGAGGAGAGGGGCGGGACGATTAGACGCGTGCTAGAGGCGGTTTAGCCAATCACAACACACTGGGCTAGCTAACCAATCAGAGCCCATCACGTATTTCTGAGGGAGGGGCTTCATAAAAGAAGGAAATGATCAGCCCGTTTCTCAGAGAAGGAACAGAGCGGTGTGGAATAAAGGTAAATTATATAAAAAATAATGCGTTTTTAAAAAAACGAAGCATTAACACATGTTAGACCGCACCCCATAAACACAATCAAGCCTAGAAAAAAACCATTGAACCACCCCTTTAAATGATTGACAGAGATAACACAGCGCTCGCAAACAGTGATTGTGGAAAGCTTTAGCCTCATATCGAACCGTTAACTGTTGTTTTGATACTGAAAAAAAATCGCAATGAACGTATTGGACAATCCTGTTTCTTGAAGGTCAGATGATAGAAGATCAAATGGAAGCTTTGCTGAACTTGAGATTGTTCTTCTAAATAAACGATCCTGTAATCTCACATGTTGTCTCCTCTAGAGTTTCACAAGAGATCTCAAACTGCTCTCAAATATGAAAGACTTCAATCAGAGGTAAAATATGACACTTTTCTCATCAGGTTTTCCTCAGATCAAATGATCTGCTGCTATCCATGTTTATTTTATAGCTCTGTACTCTTACTGTATGTCAATAATGGTCTCACTTGTGTCTGTTTTTCTCCTGAGGAACTTTAGAAGAAACATCTGAGACAAAGTTGATTCCTGAATGAAACATATCTGAGAATTCCCGAGCAATGAAATGTGCAAAATATATTTTTGCAGACATTTTCTGTTGAAGCTCTGTTTTAAATATAAGTGTTATGCATCCAGTAGTGAACAATCTTCTTGTTTGAATCGCTAATGCTGACTAATAAATTCAGGATTGCTTATATTGAACAGAAGTGCATGTATGCCGTACAGGGATCAAATTGACTTTCACTAGAGGACGAAGTGGCCCTCAGTGTGAACCTCACATCGGGTGCTTTCCCCTTGTATTCACATTCATTACATGTTTTATTGCTCAGACAACGTCCCTGGACAACACTCTATCACTCGCAGAGGGTAATAGCTTTTTTTCGCCGGTGTAATTTAATTGATCAGATTGTGCTTTTTTATTTGCTTTGTTTTTGTATTATAATATTACTATTTAGGTTTAATCTATATTTATTTCAGTTTTTGTTTTATTTCAGCTTTAGTTTTTATTTATTTCCAGTTAGTAATTTCAGTGTTTCAACTTTAAACAAAAATTAGAAATGTTGCCTTGGTGAATAACTAATAAGTTTAAATTTGCCATATAATATGAGCATTTTATTTTAGCTTTATTTCAATTAACATTTATTTTTATAATTTTTATATTTGTAGTTTTTGATAAGACTACTGTAGAGGGTTTTTTTTTTTTTCATTCAATTTGTTGTTTGCAATGAATTATTGAGCCAGTACATAAGAAATTGGCATTGAAAACCATGTTATTTCCATACTGAGCAGACAATATCGATTTTAATTCAGAGCTGTCAAGTTTGATTCGGCTGGAAATTTCATATTTCAACAACAGAAGGTGATAAAGAGGTCAAAATTATGTAGTGTACAAAGTAAGATACACGTACAGTAAGAAAGCTATAAAATTAATGTGGATAGCATCTCGGATCATCTGATCATGGATAAATCTGATGAGAAATGTTTGACTTTATACTGAGATCTTTAAAGGAACACTCCACTATTTCTGAAAATAGGCTCATTTTCCAATTCCCCTAGAGTTAAACAGTTCAGTTTTACCGTTTTCGAATCCATTCAGCCGATCTCCGGGTCTGACGGTAGCACTTTTAGCTGTAGCTTAGCATAGATCATTGAATCTGATTAGACCGTTGGCATGTCGCTCAAAAATGACCAAAGAGTTTCTATATTTTTCCTATTTAAAACTTGACTCTTCTGTAGTTACATCGTGTACTAAGAGTACTCTAGGCCGATATGGCTAGGAACTATACTCTCATTCCGGCATAATAATCAAGGAACTTTGCTGCTGTACTATGGGGGCAGCAGGCTCAATGATATTACGCAGTGCCTGAAAATAGGCTTATTGGAAGTTACCTAGCTGGGACTATTTTCAGGCGCTGCGTAATAGCAAAGTTCCTTGATTATTGTGCCGGAAAGAGAGTATAGTTCCTAGCCATATCAGCCTAGAAAATTGCAACTTTTCATTTTCCTAATCTTGATCTCTTCTGAAACTGGCGAGTTACTGGGGTCTTTTTCTCAAATCTCAGACACAGAAATGCAAAGTGTCCATTTGCTCTGCATTGCTGTCTAGGACAAACTGGATATCGGTTAACTTTGCAGGAAGGAACTTGTTTATTCCCCCCTAATTGTTCTCAAACTCTCTCTTTCCTCCAGATGAGTCTGGTTTGACTCCTCCACCAAGCCTTGCACCAGTGATGCAGGTACCAGCCCCTAAAGAAACCCCCAGAGGAGTTGCATCCATAGGACAGGACTTCCTAGAGTCTGTTCTTTCTCGTAAGGATCATCTTCTGGCCCAGAAGGGTGTGACTCTTCCCAGCAGTTTACCCCCTAATCTGGTACCCATGTTGGGGAAGGGGCTGGAGGCCGGAGCAGAGGCCCAGTCCCCTGACCAGCTCCTCTTGAGGAAGATGCTCCCTGCACACAGTGCCACTGGCCGACCTACTTTACCTCCAGCCTATGACCTCCCCACCGAACCCCCAGAGGCCGTCGCAACGCCCAGCTGGGATACCGATGCTCCGACCCCACACCAGAAACCTTTGGGCACCGCTGCGGTTCCCACCACTGTGAATGCTGAAACAGAGTCTGGTGTTTTCACCTCAGGTAAGACTGAGATTTTTAGAGAAACCTAGTAGAAAACTAGTTGATGTTCCTCATGCTGCTGTTGATTTTTCATATAGTTGACTCTGTTTAACTTTGTTGTTTAGTTGGTCTCGCAAGCTCTCATGGAAATTGAATGACTTCTTCATCATGACAAATCATTGGCTAGCCTGGTTTCCGTTCACTTTTAAAGGGGTCATATGATGCGATTTCAATTTTTCCTTTCTCTTCTGATATTATGCCAAGTGCATGGTCACCAAAGATGTGAATAAAATATCCATAATGCGCATAAAAAAGCTTACATGGTCATTTTGGGTGACATGCACATTAAAAATATTAGTTGAAAAACGAATCTTTCCTTGGCAACTAACTCTAACTAAAATAAGCCAAAGTTGAAGTACTAAAATAAAAATAAAGATAAATAGAAACATTAAAACACAAAACCAAATAAAAACGACAAGGGTATATAACAAAATTACTCAAATTTAAAATTAAAACAAAAAAAATTGATCTTTTTATATTGAATATTAAAAAGTTAATTGAAAATATTAATAAATATTATAATAGTATACAAATAATACTAAATTATTAATAATACTAAAAAAAAACACTGCTTAGATAATTGACTACTATCCGATATCTGTTGAGATGATTAACAAGCATGAAGTTCATCAGAGCATTTTGTTTAATTAAGTAAAGTAATTTATCATGATTATTAAACCCAGTGTCTGTTTGTACTGAATGCAGTGGCTATTTTCACTCTGCCCACCATTGCTCAGATATTTTATTTTTATTACTAATAATAGCATATAATATGACACTTTGTGTTAGTAGCATCTGTCACGGTTTACATTAGTGTAAACAAAATATTTATTGCCAGCCAATTATACTTTGTGCAAACAGCGTCTATCTTTATTTAGACTAAGTATAAATAGCATCTACCATTTACTTAGCATTACATAAATATATTTAAAAGAGCAATTTGCAACAGTTTCCCCCAGAAGTGATGATTTTGTTCCCTTTAACCCATGGGACAGAAATGCTGCTTTATTCACAAATTGTTTTTGCAATTTTTCTGAATTACTATTATTATTTATTATATTTATTTATTTATTTGCATTAATTGAATTTGCAACTTGCAATATACCTAGTTTGAACACCTGTATAGAAATTGAAGTTTAATTCATTTGCTAACTGCTAGCCATGGTGAAAAGTCACCACTTTATGATGTTGTTGTTGTAGTTTTTTTGATGCTGGTGTCTTGGTTTCCTCAACTAGCCTCACTAGGAAAACCATACTTGTTGAGCAGTTCACACGAGTTTTGCTTGACTATGCAAGATCCATGCCAAACCGGAACTAACCAGTATAAACTATCCTGTACCAGCATGGAAACTGGAGCTACTCTAAGCTAGCATATTTAGCAGGGAAATGTACAGCTACAGCTACATGATGTGTTTCTCCTCGCTGTTTATTTTATCTCAAATCCCCTCTGTAGACATTCTCAGATGAACAGTTGGGCTTTTAATGACGTCTGTCTGGCATTTTCCTCCAGCTGTAACAAACTGCAGGGTCAATTTCACCGACCCAGAGGGCTACATCGATTCTTCAGACGATCCTCCCCTCCCTGAAGGAGCGTTCCTGCAGTGCACTTATACAGTGACTGTCTACATGGGCTACGGTGTGGAGCTACAGGTACCTTTTAATATGAGCTTTGAATATTGCTTCCATTAATCATATATTTCCTCCACCGCCAAATGATATGACAAACTACGCTGGATATTCTTGACTGAATGGGCACCTGTTAATGCATGGATCTCTTTAAATGACATGCTAATAGACTGTGTCATTCAACAAATAAGCAGCTGCAGAACACCGACCACAGCATGTGGCCCCGAGGGAGTTATCTGGAAATGCAATCTGCTGCCTAACAAGCTTTTTTTTCTCCTGTGCCTAGCACATGTTCGCGACACCCTCGGATACAGGTGACTGAGCTTAACAACCCTGCGTCCAGTCGAATGTGCCCTCTAGTGGCACGTGGTGTATGTGCACAGATCTAATTACTGGAGCTGAGCACTTCAGGCCGGCAGCAGTGCGTTCCCAGAGAGCTGAAGCCACACAAGCAGACGTTAATGAGAGAAACGGGGGTTCAGTAGAGTCGTATTGCCGCAGTGCCCGCATACAGCCGGCTGTAATCCCATGTCCACGTCCGCTGTCCCTCTGTGGATGATTCACACCCGTGACATAATCTCTAATTACCGCTTTAATCCACAGCCAAAGGCCTGCTGTGTGTGTGTGTGTATTCTGTCTCAAGGGATTAAAACACTTCCAATTAATTTGGTATGTATACACACACACTGTCCTCATGGGATTGGATGAGATACGGATAATCCATGCTGGCTGTGATATGCTTTAAAATCAACATGAAATCAACATGCACTCTTTTTACTTTCTTACTGCACGTTCCTGATGTTATTTTGCACAATTTATTGGTGCACGTTATTTAAAAGAAAATGAAAAATGTTCTTGTAATCATCCATCAAAATGTATTACATTTCTCTGAAATGATTTTATCAATTTCTTTTAAGGAAAATCTATGAAAATTAAGCAATGTAACACCAAAGACACATTTAAATAAACCATATGAAAAAATATATATGTAAATTAGTTACTTTTTCAACATGGTGTGAAAAATCACTATGCAAGCCTTTGAACTTTGGTCTTTGAAACCTTTTATATTAATTTTAGATTAAAAGTGTCTAAATTGATACTAATGACAATTTTGACACTTTATTTTATATATAAGCATCTTTTTTATTTTAGAAATACAATTTATAAATATTTACATAGATTTGTTTTTTTTAATTTAATAACAGTACATTTACAGTATTTTATTTTTATTTATTATTATTTATTCAATATTTCAGGTAATATCAGTGTATATATAAAATATATTATTAAATAAAATATTGGAGATATAAGTATAATATAATAATCAAATGTAGTTATATTAATTATTAATATATAATTGAATCTATAATAGTTATACACATGTACATATTAAATATTAACACTAATTTGTTTTTTATTATATTAATTTATTATATATTATGATGTATCCAATATTTCAATTAATATCAGTATATACAGTATACAATTCAGTATTAAATTAAATATTGGGTATATAATTATAACAAATATAATAATTTAATATACTAATTAATAAAAAAATATAATAAACACACACACACACACACACACACACATATATATATATATATATATATATATATATTCCTTTTTTTGCACACTTGTTAAACCTTGTTAAATGCTTAGCAATGGAAAACAAAATTATTTGAGAATAAAGAGTTACATAAGTAACATAAAATAACTGTAAATGTCTTAGAAGTGTCTTGTCAGATGAAGGAGACAATCTATTTCATATTATTTAAGAAATTGTTAAGTTATATTGTTATACATATTGTTTTAATGAGTTAATGAGTCAAGGCGCATGTCACTGTCTCTATATTTTGAGAGTTACTCATGCATGAAGTTACCATAATATAATTATCAGATACCATCATTGCACTATGTACTTTTTTGTAAAGTTGTGTTCTCAAATGATAAGAATGTTGCTGTGAATGCTGTACTGTTCTTGCCATACATACTTCTTAGTGTACTGTATGTTCTTACCAGTGGTTCCTGCTAAAATGATTGGCATTCCTTCGTTGTAGGTCAAAAGTGTCAACCTGTCAGAAGGCGAGCAGCTGTCAATCAGAGGGGTAGATGAAGCCGGGGCCCTGCTGGTTCTGGCCAATCAGACGCTTCTGGTGGATGGTCAGGTGATCCGCAGCCCGACCAATATGCTGTCTGTGTTCTACCGCTCATCTCCAGAGGGAGGAGTCGGCATATTCCAGCTGCATTATCAAAGTAAGTCTTTTTCAAGACAAGCCACTTATGCATTAAACACAGCATCTTTGGGACTTGCCTCTTGCTGTGGTTTTAAAGAGATAATTACTCTTTTAAATAAAACTCTGATGTTTATGTAATATTATAGTAATGAGTCCCACAGGTGCTTGTGTAAATGCTAAAAACGCTTCTCATCCAGAAGTCTCAGTACTTGCGGTGCTCTTGTTGAACTTGTTAGTCACCGGCCAGACTTTGCCTCCAAACTTTTAATTGAAAAATTCTCCATTTGGTTAATTTGCTTGCTTATCTAACTTGATAGCTTCTGCCGTGTCCATTAACCGGCTAATGTACTTGTAGTTTCACTCCAGGGCTCATTTCACAAGGCTTTATTGTGCCGTCTTGTATGCAGTTTGTCTTATTCTGCATCCTCGAGTGGCATTAGCATTCATTTTCTTCATAAATGATTGAAGGAATAGTTCACCCCCAAGAATCTGTCATTATTTACTAATATGTCATAAAAGGAGAGTTTTTGAAGGATAATCATGCACTCTTTTATTGTCCAGTTTTTCGCCTGAGTTGTGCTCTACCTCGACGGCCTCATTTTGGGGAGGTGTCAGTAAAAGATCTGCATCCCGGAGGCACGGCCCATTTCCAGTGTCACATGGGATACCACCTGCAGGGGGACGCCACACTCACGTGTCTCAATGCCTCGCTGCCGGTGTGGAGCCAACATGAGCCAAGCTGCAGAGGTGACATACTGAGATTAGTAGAGGAACAAGTGCTGAAATGTTCATATAAAAAAATTTGAAGTAATTTGAACAAACTCCTAAACCTCATATTAAACATATATTCTATACGTATATATGTGACACTGAAGACTGAAAATTCAGCTTTGCATCACAGAAATAAATTACATTTTAAAATACAGTGGGTATAGAAAAGAATCAGCCCCCTTTAAAATAATCACATTTTGTTGCTTTGCAGCCTGAAATGAAGACGGACACAGTTTTTGTTTTATCCAGTTGTATTTGCTCAGAGCAACTTATAACATCCAAGTGAAAGATATAACACCAACATGTCAGAAAAAAAAAACAAGAAAAAAAACAGAATCACTGAGTTGGAAAAAGGATCGCCCCCTTGTGTCAGTATTTTGATGAACCACCTCTTGCTTTAATTACAGCCTTTAGTCTGTTGGGTTTCGTCTCTACTAACTTTGCACATCTAGACTTTGCAATATTTGCCCACTCTTCTTTGCAGAACTGCTCAAGTTCAGTTCAATTTGATGGGGACTGTTTGTGGAGTCCTCAAGTCATTCCACAAATTATCAGTGGGGTTTAAGTCTGGGCTCTGACTAGGCCATGCAAGAACATTCACATTTTTCTCCTTCAACCACTGTGTGCTCAGTTTTGCGGTGTGCTTTGGGTCTTTGTCATGTTGGAAGGTAAAGCTTCTTCCCATTGACAACTTTCTGGCAGAGGGCAGCAGATTTTCCTCAAGAATTTGACAGTATTTTGCCCCATCCATGTTTCCTTCTATCCTGACAAGTGCTCCAGTCTCTGCTGCAGAGAAACACCCCATAACAGGATATTACCACCTCAATGCTTTACTGCAGGATTGATGCTATTTGGATGGTGAGTTGTATTGGATTTCCACCAGACATATCGTTTGGTGTTGAGGCCAAATAATTAAATTTTAGTCTCATCTGACTCAAAATCTTCAAGGTGCGTTTTGGCAAAGCTAGGTCCTGACTGCATGTGGCCTTTCTTGAGGAGTGGCTTTTTTCTTGCAACCCTCCTATACAAGCCACATTTGTGGAGAATCTGTGATATTGTTGTCAAATGCACACAATGACCACTCTGTCATAAATTCCTGCGACTGCTTCAGAGTTGCTTTAGGCCTCTTGGTCGTCTGACTGACCAGTTTCCTCCGGCTCTGTCATCCAGTTTGGAGTGACGTCCTGATCCAGGGAGGGTGCCATTGAGAAGGTGATCAGCTACACCTGATTGAGTTTACAAGTCATTTTTAGGAGGGGGTGATCCTTTTTCCAACTCAGTGATTCTGTTTTTGTATTTTTTTTCTGACATGTTATATGACATATATATGGTAATAATATAAATAGGTTATTTAAAATAATGGAAATATAACAAACCCACACATATACATATATATATTTCCTTTTATTATTATTATTTATTTTAAAGAGAGTCATAAACACATTTTCCGTTATGTTCTCTTCAAGCTTTGTGTGGAGGGGTTGTAAAAAATGCCACAGTGGGCCGTGTACTGTCCCCCTCACCCCATCCGGGCCCTAACAGCACCCTGGACCGCAGCTGCTCTTGGTCCCTGGAGGCTCCTAACGGCCAGAGGCTGCACCTGCATTTGGAGAGAATGGTGTTGGGTCCGACAGACAGGTAACAGTGTGTGTCATCTAAATCAATGCACGATTTTTGTATGTATATAAGAGACTCAAGCCTTCTCCCATGAAACAGGCTGGTCTTATGGAGCGGCCTTGATGCAGGGTCAGTGGTCCTGTTTGATTCCGGGCGTGGCGGTCCCATCCCGTTTGAGGGAGTGATCAGCGAAGGTCCGGCTGTTCGGGTCCAGTTTATAACAGACCAACCTAATAGTCACAACACTGGATTCAATATGCGTTATGAGGGTAGGCCACATGCATCTCTGTAACACCAATCATGTAGGGCAAATACATCCAACTCAATATAAACCTGCCTATAAAGTGTTTGGACATTAAACCATCTGATGCATGAATTATTAAACCAGGAAGGTAAAGAAAATAAAATACAGTTTATTTATTTGTATAGATTTATAAATTATAGTAAAAAAATAGCTACTTTATGTATCACCACTTTCATCAGCCATTTTGATTTTATGTTGTCATAAATAAATAAATGAGTAAATAGATAAATACAAACAAGAGGACAGTGATACTGAATGATGTGTAAAGATGTAACATCACAACCTAAAATATTAAAAAAGCTTTTAACAACCTGCCAATTGTAGTGGACATCATACATCGGAGGGTTACATAACACTTAAAAATGTGTAAATTTCATTGCATTAAATATTTTTTATTTTTTTTCCAATTATTGGGAATCAATTGCTCTATGTTACGTGTTTTGCTTGAAAAGTGTGCTAACATGTCTGATTTTGTCCAATTGTTGTATTGTTTTATCATTTAAACATTAAAATAAATGTTATTTTTTTTACGTGTTTTGCTTGAAAAGTGTGATATAGCATGTTTCTTTAAGTACATTTTGTTTTATATTTTATCTGTATTTATTATTTCTAATATTTTTATTTATGTCCTGTATCTGATATCTCATGCAATAAGATTTGTAAATATTTAAGTGTAACTAATCTAGCTAAGGTTAATCAGTCTAACATGTTTCTCTGGATTGTTCATTACTCTGGCTAATAGAGCTTGTTCTAATTGTTCACGTTTAGCATTTGAGAAGGGCCACTGCTATGAGCCATACATCCAAAATGGAAACTTCAGCACGACTGACCCGACTTACGGCGTGGGAACGGTGGTGCAGTTCACCTGTGACCCCGGGCACTCGCTGGAGCAGGTGCCGCCCGTCATCGAGTGCATCAACACACGAGACCCCTACTGGAATGATACAGAGCCCCTCTGCAAAGGTAGAGTCATGACAGATGATCAGAACTTTACACTACATGCTACATAATACACATCACTGCCAGACAACATTTATCCTTTGCTAAATGTCATGGGATGGCAGATTTGAAGCTAATTAAGACCGTTTTCTCTAATTATGCTATGGTAATTGCATAGAATGTTAATGGTTAATGGTATGTTAATATTCAAAAACGGCCTTTGATCTAAGTGCTTTTTAGAATTTCATCTTTTTTGCTGTGAGGCTGATGAATATTCTCACATGTCGTCCTGATCATCAGTAGTCAATGACTTTTAGTTGTTGCCCTATATTTAACCTTGCTGTAATTCATCTTTAGCTGGGATAAACAAAGTTTTCTGTGACTGACATCAGGTCGTAACACTAACAGCTGAACGTAACACTGGTCAACCCCACATGGTGTGTTACACATTCTTGTTATCGCTTGGGTGTCACATGCAATTAATATCGTAATTAACGCAGCATACTGTAGTCTGGAGTTTCACAACCAAATGCACAGGCCACAAATCAGAGATTATAGAGGACAAGTCTTACTGTGCTGAACATTTCAGAGTGTAATAATAACAAATATCTTTATAATAAATTTAAAATAGTGTGTGTGTGTGTGTGTGTGTGTGTAGATAGATAATTATATTTATAAAATTGTAGGTTGATTGGGAGATGCTTGCAGGGAAGGTAGTTGCTGAAGGAGGTTCTGATAAACATTTGCATTCACCTGCCATGTCGCTGTATAAGAGGCCCAACACCTGCTGCACAAAACATCCCCCAAACCATGACACTTCCTCCTCCAGCTTTCACTGACTTCTTTACGCACTTGGGCTTCAGTCTTTCCCCAGTTTGATGCCAAACAAAATGTTTCCCATCAGACCCAAATAAATTAAACTTTCTCTCATCACTAAAGCGAACTTTGGACCAGTTCTCCTCTGTCCACACAACATGCTCCTCAGCAAAGGTGAGCCTAGCCTTTTGATTCTTTCTGCTGATGAGAGGCTTCATCACTGCAAAGTGTGCTTTCAGTTTGACTTCTCTTAAACGTGCCGAGACAGATCCTTACCCTGTTCAGCGCTGAACTGGCGAGCAATTCCAGCTGCAGTGTTGAACCGATTGCCCATTGAAAGTCTCCGCATTATCCTGCCTTCTCTTGAATTTGTCTTACATGGACAACCAGCATTTTTGGGGGACTTGAATGAATTAGTGTCATTGTAAAGCTGCAATATACTAAAAATCACAGATTAGAGATTCAAACGTCTCATGCAGTGGCTGAAAGGGTTGTCCCTTTGGCCTTCATCTGGACTGTTGCTGGGTTTCAGTCAGCTTAGAGCAGCCTGCCATCTTACAGTCTCAGTGAAAATTAGAGGAATATTGCCAGTTAAATAGGGTTTGTCATATAATTAAGGAAATTTGCACCAGGTGCCAGATTAACACCAATAGCTTGGAGGTATCTGTAAGTGCTCCCAAATTTTGATCAGTTATTTTTCAAATACCTCATTTTAAGTTTTTTTATACTGTGCTTCAGAATACAATAAATGTATGAAATATGCTTAAAAAACTGGCCATCTACTCCTGTTAGGATAACTTCAAATAGGACTAAGCAGTGACCTTGAAATTTAGGAAATTGTAGGTTGTTCTCTAATTTTGATCTCCACTGTATGTCATGTACATGTATATCCATCCTAAAACCTGTCAATACAGGTTGATATCATATAAATAAATATAAATGTATTTTAAAAAATATTACAAAAACATATATGAACAGCTTTTGTTCTTGTGACTTTTTTTTTAGATCAGCTGGAGGATTCACGTCGGCGAGGACAAACGCGTCCTGCTGGACGTGCAGCTGTAAGTCCTTCTGGAACATTCTGTTCTGACAACAACAGCAAAGTCTGCAGCTAATGCATCAAGCTGCTGCTGCTGAAATCGAACGAAACCCACAGACTGCTGGATGCGATGACTCACCAAACCGCCTGAATGACTCGTTCATTTTCTCATTTCCTCCCACACAAACCCCTCACCTCTCGCCCACTGTCTCTTTCTCTCTCTCTCTCTCATTAGCTTGAATCTGAGCGACAGTGATATGCTAACCATTTTGGATGGGGATGAGGTCACAACACGTATATTGGGGCAGTTTGTTGGGGGAACCACGGTTTAGGTGTAGGGTTGGTGTAGGGCAATAGAATATGTAGTTTGTACAGTATAAAAACCATTACGCCTATGGAATGTCCCCATTTAGATAGCTAAGTAAA